CAAAAAATACATAAATATGTTAAAATTTTAATTCAATTTTCTAACATAGAAATATTATGTATATGTAGTTTAAACATTTCATAACTCTTTTCTCAGTTGATGTATTTTTAAATGTTTTGGTGAAACCAAATCATCTATAAAAAACTATAAATATTCTGTTTTATATTTTTTATTGTGTATTTTATTATTTGTTAAAAAATAGTTCTAATAATGAATTAAAATGAAAGCTGAGAATTAAATTGCAATATGTAAAAATATCTAAAGATATATTTACATTTTTTTTGTTATAGTAATTCATCCTCAAACCTCGTTATGAGAATCACCCATCTTCAAAATGAGATTTTTTGTTGGAGATGTTCTTAAGCAAGCACACTTGCATTGCTGTATATCAATTACATTAATTGCTAGGATTAGATGCTTTGTGGATAACATATGTAGTTTGGGGACAACTTTCACATTCAAATGATATGCAACTATGCACTGATCATACACCTAAAAGGTGTATATAGACTTCGAATATATATAAACCTACCACACTGTACCTTAATTAGTAGTAATAAAAATCTCAATTATGTATTTATATGGTTTTCCTGCTATCACTTTGCGGTCAGTTGGTCAGCATCTTGTCATTCGTACCCAAACAATGATAAACAATAGTAAATTATTATAGCCGAAGAGGAAAACAGCTACGTACGTACTTAAGTTGAAAGTTGAAACTCGTGTTTTGTTTTGGTAATAAAAAATCATACATAGAGATGTGCAGGTCGTTTACATGGTTTCAGCCGTCCCTATGAATGATAAGGAGTTTGTTACACCAAGGGGCACATTTTGACTTTGTCTTACATTTAGAGACACATTCAACATTTAGAACACTTTTCTTTGTCGTGTAGTACGTGGTTGGACAACAATGCCCCTGTTGAGAACTTCGACAATTTGGTATTCCAATAGAAAACCGGTTACGTTTGGTCTTTGTTTCCAGTATGCATTAATGTGTTAGATTTATTAATAAAAGTGCTTTATTGTTTATCGTTGGATGGTCCAGAGATGCTTACAATCCGAAGGCCAAAATTAAAAGTGGGAGTGAGGAAACTGAGCATACATCAATTTTGTATCTTTGTCAAAAGTTTTTTGTTTTCCTTAACAAATTTTATCTCTTATTTTTCATATTATGATAACTAACTTTGATATATAATATATACAATAAATTATATTTTTTTCTCTTCTATGTTTTGAGATCCATATGTATATATTTATTTTGATGTTTTAATTTTTATAAAATTTGAAATTGAATTATGTGAACACATTATTGTGGACAATATGTTGTGGACAGTGCAAATGAGTGGACATGATATCATAGACAATGTGTTGTGGATGGTACAATTTGAAAGAATATGTTGTGGATTATACAATTTGAAAGAATGAATTATGGATGGTGTGTATGTAGAAGTGCAAGTTGGCTCGTATGGGTGGACAAGGGAGGTGTGGACAGAGAGAGTTGGGGATAGAAGAGTTGTGGACAAGTGATGTGTGTACATGAATGCCTTCCACAAAAGCATGGATGGGAGGACTCTGGGTGTACGTGGATGCCTTCCACAAAAGCATGGATGAGAGGACTGTGGAGGACATGTCTATGGAGTTAAGCAGCATATTTGACGACTGGTACATGTCCAATGATTAACTGGTACATGTCCAATGATTAACTGATTTACTATTTTTTTGCTGTATTTTTTTGTTTCTATGATAATGGCAAAATCGTAATTATAGTCATCTTCTTCCAATTTGTTTTACTTTGTCTGCAATACTTTCATGGACGACTATTGAATTTTGTCACAATACTTCAAAATATCAAGTTGCTCATGATGTTTTTGATTTAAATTGATAGAACTATTCAATTACAGTCTATTTTAAGCACTAAATCTGAAAATCATTTTAAGAACCTTGTTTTTTGGCCGAATCTGGCCAAATTGAAATGCTTACCCATCGTGGAAAACTCCAACACTGTGTAATCTCTTGTCCCAGACGCTTTTTTGAAATTTGATACTAAAGCCAATCTAACCACAACAAGACAAACCTTGCATGTCTTGAACTCGAAGGACAAAATGATGACAACAACCGTTGGATTCAGAAGTTTGAGATATACAGAATGTTCTAATGGCAAAACCAAATTCAATGAAAGAAATGGTGTGAAAAACGATTTATGAAAGAGGATCTAAGATTTTTGTGAATCACCCCTAGGGGAGTTTCACGAGAAATTATGAATTTTGGATTTGAAATTAGGGTTGGAAATTGATCAAAACTGGGGTTGGTACAAAATTTAAACCGATATCTATAAAACTGGTATGATGGTTTGCTTTTTTCACATTTTCTATGAGAAGAGGGTATATATGACTTTCACTTGCTTGAAAGTATGTTACATGTTGAAAGTGTCTTGGAATGAAATTCTAAAGTGGTAAAGTGTCTGAGGGTGTAAAAAATTCAATGATAAAACACCGACGCGATGTTTCCAACTTTAGCTTTGTCTCGGTAATACTCTTATTCTTCTGCTTTTTCTCTATTTTCTTTTTATTATTATTATTCCCCCATTTTAAACCTAAAAATGTAAACGTGATGGAAGTGAAATTATTTGGTTTTTGAAGTAATAATCAGTTTTTGTAGAAAATGTTGCCGATTTTCTTTCTTTTTTGGTTCAGTATGCTGATGATTTTTGTTTGTTAGGGCATCTCTATCAATAAACCCCCAATGGGATTCGCCACGTGGCGTTTTTGTTTTTGTTTTTATTTTTTTTTTTTAGAAAAAAAAAATTTCAACGAATCAGGGTTCGCCATGTGGCGAACCCCTCATGATATGGTATCACCACAACAAACTCACAAGACCCGGGTTCACTATTATTTGTCTCGTAAACCGTGTGAATCCCCCTTTAAACCTCTTTTGATCTCCTAATGGAGATGGTCTTAGTACTTGTTAAAGCTTTTTTGTTGAAGTCTTCGACCCAATGGTTCTCTTTTTTTGAACTTAGCTTTAGTATTTCTTCTTCGACCGACGCAATGGTTAAAGAAAAAATACTATACGTAACACCTTTACATCTTTTAGGTTCAGTTTGCACCACTATCTTTGGCTTTATACTGCTTTTCGTCCTAATGTTGTTTTCTTTAATTAATCACAAAGCTGGAAAACATTTTAGGGTATGCAGTAAATAGCAAGAAGAAGGTGGTCTCAAAATAAATAAATAAAACCAAAAGACAATAACTAAGATTAATGTAGTAAATTATCGATAAGAACATCTTCAATCCTAATACATAATTTATTGCAAAATTGAATATATGTGGAAATGCTCAGATTTTAGTAGGGGTTATTGATTCTAGTATTATAATGGATTTAAAAGAATTTTTGGATTTTAAAATGTTTGGGAAATCCATTAATTTTGAAATCAAACAAGTATATTTTAGAATCAATGATGTAGATTTTAAAATCAAAATAAATGGATTACTATAAATCAGTCAAAAGAATTTGTAATAGATTCAATTTTGTAATAAAATAAAGAAAATAAATACTCTTGCAAATGGTATTCGAACAACCCAATATGAAACCGAAAAGTTACATTGATTTGCAAAACCACAATTAACCACATAAATTTTTCAAATATCTTGACTTTTAAAACTTTACTACTCGAAAACTTCATTAGACAAACTTTCCAATCCACTAAGAACGTATATGAACTCAAGATCAATATTATACACATCCAATACTTTTTGTGATATATCACTATATTAGAAAATATAAAAACAGAGAACTTTCAAAAGTACACATGAATTTTTGCTTACACATAATTTGATGATACTATGAAACATATATAGAGTTACCAGATTTATACGTGAATGTGTCATATATATACTTGTTAGTGCTTGATATAATTATTAGAAGGAACGTGCCAATACGTATATAAAACTTGGGGGTATAAAATACTGAAAAACCCAATAGTAGAAATCTAACAAAATAACAAGGTTCACCTCAGTATTTGATCCTTTGTATTTTTAACTTAAAAACACTTACAAATCCATTCAAATCCAATTTTAAATCAAATCTTTAAACAAATCATTATTATTGAATAACACTTGATTTTAAAATCTATATTAAAATCATTGAACCGATAACAGTAGATTTGAATATAAATTTTAAAATCATATAACCAATAACAATAGATTTGATTTGTATTTTCAAATTCATTAAAATATATAAATCAATAACACCTCCTTAATCTATGACTTTAACTACACTGACAATGTTCCATTCCATTTTTTTTTTGTTCTTGTAGGAATTATGATTAGTCAAGATTTGGTTATAATTGTCACAAATTATGATTTACACGCAGAAAACATATCAGACCTGAGTATCTTTTGTATTTTTAATCTACGAACATACTTATATTATTCCAGACACTAATTTTAAAATTAATTTTTGTAATGTTAGAAGTTAGAACAACAATAAGCCGACAGATTCAAATAACAATTACGAGTGGTGAGTATGTTTTCATTAGACAATAAACATACAGTTCTCCAAAATAGTTTACGTTAATACGGTCACATACACGTATACATATTTCAATACTAGTGTATATATATATATTATATTTCCTAACAAGTGTCCATTACTAATTAGATAACTGAGTTTATCATTATCGATTCACAGTCATGGGACACTGCATCTCTTGTTGTCATTATATGTAACGTGACATACATAAAATATAAAATATAGTGTTAGGTAGTAAATTTTAATTTTAGTTAAAATTGTGAAATATCATATCTATATCTCTTTGTTCTGTACAACAAAATCATAAACTCTTTTACCAACCAGATTCATCAAGAACGAAAGTGAACACACAAATGTTTACCAATCAGATTTATCAACATATCTACGTTTTCGAACTTTTTAAGTTTAACTAATTATAGAAATTAAAATGGAAAATGACAAAGTACCGTACAAATAATGAATGTTCCCATAGAGTAGCAGATCATTATTTTGTAACATTCTCTTTAATTATGAGTAATAAATCATAAAACAGATAAACAACACAATAATTATCATATATAGATATAAGTTATAACCTCAAAAATGATGCTAGAAACATTGATATTGGCATTCTCAGTCAGAGTCACGATAACTTAACCTGTCCCCCAGTCAACGCTTTCTAGACTCTCTTCTTTATTACATCATTCTCTGTTTCCTTCTTACAACACTTTCTCCCACTCTCTCTCATCACCGTGTCTCAAACCAGCCGTTTTAAAAAACATGTATCTTCTCCCCCTCCTCCTCCTCATCCCCACCGTCTTCTCCCTAAACCAAGAAGTCTCCATCCTCCACCAAGTCAAACTCTCTCTCGACGACCCAACCTCCTCCCTCTCCACCTGGAACCCCCAAGACACCTCACCATGCAACTGGTCCGGCGTCTCCTGCAACAACACCCCTCTCCCCTCCGTCACTTCCCTCGACCTCTCCAACTCCAACCTCGCAGGCCCTTTCCCTTCCCTCCTCTGCCGCCTCCCAAACCTCTCCTCCCTCTCTCTCTCCAACAACTTCATCAACTCCACTCTCCCCTCAACCATCAACACCTGCAACTCTCTCCTCACCCTCGACCTCTCCCAAAACCTCCTCACCGGCCCCCTCCCCCACACGCTCTCCGACCTCCCCCTCCTAACCTCCCTCGACCTCACCGGAAACAACTTCTCCGGCGACATTCCGGCGAGTTTCGCAAACTTCCAAAAACTCGAGATCCTCTCCCTCGTCTCCAACCTCCTCGACAAAACCATCCCTCCGTTTCTCTCCAACATCACCTCTCTAAAAATGCTCAACCTATCCTACAACCCGTTTTCCCCGGGTCGGATCCCCCCGGAGCTCGGGAACCTAACCAACCTCCGAGTCTTGTGGCTGACACAATGCAACTTAATCGGAGAAATCCCCGACTCGCTGAGTCGACTCACCCGACTCGTCGATCTCGACCTCGCCCTCAACAACCTCGTGGGCCCCATCCCAAGCTCCCTAGGCGGTTTAACCAACATCGTTCAGATCGAGCTCTACAACAACTCGTTAACCGGTTCGATCCCTGTTGAGTTAGGGAAGTTAAAGTCTCTGCGACTTCTCGACGTGTCGATGAACAAGTTAACTGGTTATATACCGGAAGAGCTATGCAGTGTTCCGTTAGAGAGTTTAAATCTCTACGAGAACGATCTCGAAGGAGAGGTTCCGAAGAGTATAGCTTCGTCTCCGAACCTCTACGAGCTCAGGCTATTCGGAAACCGTCTCTCCGGGGCATTACCTAGAGACTTAGGCCTTAACTCGCCGTTGAGGTGGTTGGATTTGTCGGAGAATGGATTCTCCGGCGAGTTGCCGCCGGGGATCTGCGAGAGAGGGGAGCTGGAGGAGCTGCTGGTTATACAAAACTCGTTATCCGGGGGGATACCGGAGGGGTTGGGAGATTGTAGGAGCTTGACGCGTGTCCGGTTAGCGTATAACCGGTTTTCCGGTCGAGTTCCGGTTGGTTTGTGGGGGTTGCCTCGTGTTTATTTACTTGAGCTTGTGAACAACTCGTTTTCCGGGGAGATTGGGAGGAGTGTAGGAGGCGCGTTGAATCTCTCGTTGTTGATTTTGAGTAATAATGAGTTTACCGGTGGGTTACCGGAGGAGATTGGTTCTTTGAACAACCTTAATCAGTTGTCGGTGGGTGGGAACAAGATGAGTGGTTTGTTGCCTGATAGTTTGATGAGTCTTGGAGAGTTGGGGATTCTTGATCTTCACGGAAACCGGTTTACCGGGGAGTTGTCTCCTGGAATCGGATCGTGGAAGAAGCTTAATGAGTTGAATTTAGCCGGTAACCGGTTTTCCGGTTCGATCCCGGTTGAGATTGGGAGTTTGACAGTCTTGAACTATCTTGATCTCTCTGATAACCTTTTCTCCGGTGAGATCCCGGTTTCGTTGCAAGGTTTGAAGCTAAACCAGCTGAATCTTTCGAATAATCGGTTAACCGGTGACGTACCGGTTTCGTTAGCGAAGGAGATGTACAAGAACAGCTTCTTAGGGAACCCTGGGTTGTGTGGGGATATAGAAGGATTGTGTGGATCTAAGGATGATGGTAAGAGCAGAGGCTATGTATGGCTGTTGAGATCGATCTTTGTACTTGCTGGTGTAGTGTTTGTTGCGGGTTTGGTTTGGTTTTACTTCAAGTACACGTCTTTCAAGAAAGCAAGAGCTATGGAGAGATCTAAGTGGACAGTCATGTCGTTCCACAAACTAGGTTTCAGTGAGAGCGAGATTCTTGAAAGCTTAGATGAAGACAATGTGATTGGAGCTGGAGCTTCCGGTAAAGTTTACAAAGTTGTACTCACCAATGGAGAAACGGTTGCGGTTAAACGTTTATGGACAGGAACTGTTAAAGAGACAGGAGGAGACAGTGATCTAGAGAAAGGAGAGAGATCTAGTCTCAAAGACGAGGCCTTTGAAGCTGAAGTAGAGACGTTAGGTAAGATTAGGCATAAGAATATTGTGAAGCTATGGTGTTGCTGCACCACAAGAGATTGCAAGCTATTGGTTTATGAGTACATGCCTAATGGTAGCTTGGGAGATTTGATTCATAGCACTAAAGGAGGAACGTTGGGATGGGAAACTAGGTTTAAGATTATATTAGATGCAGCTGAAGGGCTTTCTTATCTTCATCATGATTGTGTTCCTCCTATTGTGCATAGAGATGTTAAGTCCAACAATATTTTGATTGATGGAGATTATGGTGCAAGAGTTGCTGATTTTGGAGTGGCTAAGGTCGTTGACTTGTCCGGAAAAGCGCCCAAGTCCATGTCAGTTATTGCTGGCTCATGCGGTTATATTGCACCAGGTTAGTCTTAGTAATAACTAGTAGTAGATTTAGTACATGTTGCATGAGAGACTTAAATGAGCATTTACTATCTTATTGAGACATGTCTGAATCATGTCTTACCACTTGTTGTTTAGTGGTTTGAAAGTTATTTATTATGGTTTGTTTCTCTAACTCTTTTGTGTAAAATAACTTGTAGAATATGCATACACGCTACGTGTGAACGAGAAGAGCGACATCTACAGTTTCGGGGTAGTGATACTTGAGATAGTGACTAGAAAACGCCCGGTTGCTCCAGAGCTAGGGGAGAAAGATTTGGTGAAATGGGTATGCTCAACGTTGGACCAGAAAGGTGTAGAGCATGTGATAGATCCGAAGCTAGACTCTTGTTACAAAGAAGAGATAAGCAAGATCCTCAACATTGGGCTTCTCTGCACGAGTCCGTTGCCCATAAACCGACCTTCAATGAGACGTGTGGTCAAGATGTTGCAAGAAATTGGCGGTGTAGATGAGGAAAGCCGAGACAAGACGAGAGAAGATAAGGATGGGAAGTTAACACCTTACTACAGTGAAGAAGCCTCAGACCAGGGAAGTGTAGCTTGAGACACAAAATTTCTCAATTTTGGGTGCTTGAAGGTGTGAATTAGGTCATTGAATCAAAGATTCTCCTCACCTCCCTTTTCTCAAGGGTTTTGGTGTAAAAGAGAGAATCAGAGTGTGTTAAATTTTTATAATATATATATATATATATAAGGTTTCTAAATCAGGAAGTGTGGTTCAGTCTCCACGAAAAATGCTGCCATCTTCTGGCGTTAGCATGCATTTAAATAGTTTCCATATATAGGGAAACAGATTCTAGGTTCTTGAAGGGAACATGTCTTAATCTTTAAAGCCTGGGCTCTCTCGTTTCTGTTGAACTGTTGGAGGCTTGTGTATGTGACTGCACACTCACATGGCTATTAACTTCTCAAACTTTTTTCCCAATTTCTTTTTAAAAATTTCAGGTTGTGTTATTTCCTTTGCTTATTTTCATCAGATCTAATAAGATTTGGAACATGAGATTATACCCTTTTTCGCAAACTGCAGGGGTTTATAGACTTCATATCAACGTTCTTGTAAAAAGGTCTCCATCTTATGTACTTGTGTAAATCTGATTGGTTTTTGGTCAACTAATCTGTATTAAAAAAACTTATAAGATACAAAACACATATATTACATACTAACAACGTATAGCTTACTAACTTCTTCTAAAATCAAATATTAATCATAGCAAACCCCTTGACCAACATATAAAACAAATATCAACGTTGGAGACTTGAAGAGATGAGGTTCGAAAACTATGTTTTTAGTCTCTTAAAACTAAAGTAGTTAAGATAGCTCAATCATAAGGTGGTCGTTGGGGAAGGTTTAACTTCCTAACTGCGGTTATGCTCTTAATAGTGACCTTACAAGGTAATATTAGATAACTTCTGCTGAGTACAAACAAAACAAGAACATTGACATCTCAACCTCACATGTGTTTATTTTATCTAAGAGGAGAATTAAGTTATACAGGTCATGTTAAGATACATAAATAGTTAAGTAAATATTCTAAAACTGACCAGTTGCTGGTTGAGGAAACTAGAAGTGGACCCAGTAAGCATTGAAGCCTACATTGGTAGAGAGTATCATTCAGTAGGGAGTAGGGACATTGACAATGACACCTCATCTCCATCTTTGCGCCTTGCCTCTGTCTTTTTTTTTTTTTTTTTTT